CCTCTGCCCCGTGCCGCATGTCAATGCTGACCACTGAAACGTCAAGGCGCGAGACGAACACTCACAAATGCACACGCACCTGCTCGGTCAGCGAGCGTAGCTGTCGACTCCGAGGGTCTCGTTTACAGAGGTTCCGTGCCGGGGCGACCACCGTGCACATGCACCTGCCGTCGGGATCCGAGGCCGTGCTGTAAACCTGCCAGCCTTCCTCTGAGCCCGGGTACAGCCCCTGCACACAAACACACCCGGTGTTAATGAAGTCACTGCGGGATAACACATTACCAGACGAGAGGGTGAGCAGAGGAAAGCACAGAAAGCAAAACAGAACAACAAACAAATTCATCACCTATTAGCAGAGCAGATGATGTACACAACAAGCTGGAGTACGACTATTTCCATTACCAAATAAACACCTCACCATTGCTCCTTGGCTTAACTACTTTATGCTTCTGTGACACGCAGGCCATGGGACTGTTTTTGTCAGTAAAAAGACTCTAAAACGTCTGGCTCAGATTAGATTAACCACAATGGAAACCAAGTTAAAATGTGTAAAACTGACATTTAACAATGCACAGGTTTGACATTTGAAACCATCAAATCAAACTGGGAGGGATTAAATGATTTATGGTTAAAATGCCTTTTTGGTCTACATGCTACAGCCTATAGCAGGAAACAAATGTGTAAATGCACTAATGCAGGAAACTTATTGGTAAAACAATGAACATCCAGAGATGGATGGAGCAACATTGACATTCATTTGAAGTTGTTGATGAATGTAGGGTGATGATGTTCAACATTCACGGTCTTGTGAATGTCAAATATCTTTGAGAGACACATTTTGTTCTTCAACTGTGAAAACAGCAAGAAACGAAGAAGAAAAAGAGAGAGAAAAAGCAGAGGTTCAGGTATTGGTGGTTATTTATTTCTGCTTTGTCAGTTTGATTTAAATTTAGCTTAAAAAGGGTTTTTAGAGGAATCTGAAAACCGGATGCTACATTTAGAGATTAAAGCGAAAAGCTTCAGTGCTATGAACTCACTCGTATGCTTTGACATTGCATAATAATAATACAACAAAACAGAAAGCAAATATCAGTGATTAAAATTTAAGTTGATGATTGAAGTTTTTAGAGATTAAGTGGTTGCTCATAGATGTTTGGTTGTGCACTGGTGTGGACTGTTTGCAGGGTAGAAATCATCTTTTGTGCAGATTTGTGGGAGCTCTGGGGAGTCGGTGACTTTCTGCCAGAGAGAACAGCAGTTCCGTCCGTGGAGGCAGAGAGTGGAAACTCTCCAGTAATGCTGCTAGCTTTCCTGGACACAGACATGTGGGAGACGTCACAGCTGATTTTAGCAACAAATGAGAAATTCAGAATTGGACATGGATGTCTCTGGTGAAGTCGAGCCCAATGAAAACACAGAAAGCGCACAATCTCCGTTTGACAAACATAAAAAGACGCTGAAATCACGAGATGCATCATGGTCAGATCACGCAGAGATTTAAGTGCTGGCTACGACGATAATGACATAAAAGGAAAATATCTGTTCAGCCCTGATGACTGCAGTCTGACCTGAATAAGACTGAGACGCTGAAAAGAAGTGTGTTGGCTGAAAATAAAAAATACATGAAAAACCCTACAAAGGCTATGAAACGGAGATTTAATAGAGACTACATTCTCCTAAAAAATAGAAAAAGAAAAAAGCACAGAGCGGTAACTCCTCTTATCTTTATTTCTACCTTTACACCAAAATATGAGGGTTTTTTTTTCCAAATGATGAATGCACATCTCCCATGATCTGTTTATATGTATGCCTACTTTTATCTTTCAGCACATACTGTAAATGGGAGGTAGGAAATGTATTCATTCTTAAGCGAAGCCGTTATTGAAGCATGTGATTCAAGGTAAAATCATTCATAACACCCTCAACAGTGATCACAGTGACTGAGGGAAAATGTTTTTGATAGATTTGATAAATCCAATTAAGCCTGACTTTCTTTTAGATAATATTCTGGACACCTTGGAAACAGTAGCTAGTACAAATGATTTTGATAACACAAATCAGAGCCTGATCAATATATTGGTTGGGAGTTGGGACTGATAATGAAAATTTAAAAGGTAAGAAATTGAGGTGGAAAAAATATTTTAACCATGTTACGAGTGTTGAGGCTGCATAGTGTGTCCACTAGAGGGCACTCTGCAACTTCCTTGTTGGCAACACGTAATTGGAAGGTAACAAACACAAGGAGCTTTGTCTTATTATCTCAGTGAGGACTCATAAACAGCTGAACACGTCTAAGATTAAATACACAATTACTGATTTTAGGAAAAGCCCTCCTAAACACAAAGTTACTTTTATTAAAGGTCAGATTGTGGAGTGTGTTTAATGTTAATGCCTTTGAATAGTTGTTGATCCGAAGCTTGATTTTAAAGCAAACTGTGAAGCTGTGTGCAAGAAGGGGCCCCAGCGACTCCCATGTTTGAGAAGGCTTTCTTGTTTCCGCACTGATAAAACCACGATGATTTCATTTTATCCTGCTTTTATTGAATCTGTTTTATCCTTTTCTTTGTTGTCGTGGTTTGGATTCTTATCTGTAAATAACACAAACTCACTCAATCAAACTGTTAAGTGGTCTAACAGGCTGACTGGTTAACCACAGCATCCCTGCACACCAGACAGTTCTAGTTTCTTCCTTCTGGTCGAACGCTTCTGTTCCCAAAATGTAAAACAACAAAAGTTAAAAATAGCTTTGCTGTAGCAGCCATTACTCAAATGAACAAATGAGAGTTTTTGCAGTTTTTTCCCTTAGCGGGGGCGACATGAAGCCCAAGGTATTTTTAGTCATTGTTTTATAGTAGTATGTACAATTGTTGTCTGTTCTGCCTGTATTGAGAGCGTGAATATGACGATGGATGACCCACTGCTGCAGAGCAACGCAGCAGGAAACGTGGTGTTCCAAGTTATTAAGAATGAATCTCATCATAAAAATGGCTGAACCGCTAAATGACATTAGCTCATCCAAGGAAAAGCACCTGTGTGTTCATTCACATGGACAACAAAATGCTCATTTTTTCATCTAAAGTGGTTATCGGCTTTCATTACGTTCACAATTCTTATAAAACTATCAGCTGCAAAAATACGTCGACTCCAGTACTGTCCTTAAGTGCCTATTATAGGTCCTCCTGCTGCAATGGAGTGGGCGTTTTTCACTGAGCTTTCAATTTCTACTTAACAGTCAAACGAAAATATTGCTTTTATAGTGCTTTTTTTTTTTTTACCCCACTACATTTATCTAACCATAGTTACAAGTTATTTCTCCTGTTACAATTTTTCATAACCGTCCTGGTGAGTAAAGACTATGTCAGGTTTGTGATAAACTGCAGGATTGAACTTTCTTTTGTGTATGAGGAAAATTCTCTTTTTTACATTAAGAAAACATAAAAATTGAATTAGCTAAACAACGCTGTCACAAAGCTAACAGCAGGGAAACAGGAAACACTGTAGTAGTGTGTGGTTTGGCTGTTGTAGAGGTGGGGGAGAGATCAATGCCATTTTGTTGATTCAGTAGTTTCAGGTAAGCTGATAAAAAAGGAGAAAAGCTGTGTTAGCAGATTTTCTTCCCTATGGATATGAACAAGTACTTTTATCTGCTCTGTGGATCACTTAATAAAGCAAATCTGACTGAAATCAAGACTGGCTTCAACAACAGTTAGTAGTACGAGTTGGCTATTAATAGATAGCACCTCAGCAAGCAAATGTGTGAAACAAGCCTGGTACAAACACACACACAGATATAAGGTCATGTTCAGCTCTTGTTTAGCCAGTAAGTATAAACGTATTATTTAACCGTACCACGAGATTCCAGCAAGAAATTATAATATGACAGGATTTGTCCTGTTCTTTAATGTTATTAGGACAGGGGTGTCAAACATGAGGCCTGAGGCCTGCTGAAGACTCCAGTCTGGCCCATGGGACAGCACTGTAAAGTGTAAAGGAAAGCATACATTTGGGGATTTTAACGATATTTTTGTAGATTTTAGAGCTTTTCCTACTAATAAAAATGTCCCTCGTGGCCACTGATACACACCAAAGTAAATAAATGACAGAAAGTTATTGGTTTTTTTTTTTTTAATCTTTGATAGAAAGACATTCTGTCATTTAACAAAAATGTTCAGTTTTATAATTACAGGAGCTAACAGGACTTTTTCTTTAATTTTACACATGTATGTCTTAAAATCTAAGGCCAAAGATTAGTGACGACAGACTTCAGCATCATTTCTTCATCATGAAGAAAAACTGAGACGCATTGTTTCAACTGCACTTCATTTCCTTATATTAAAGTGTTTCAGGAACTAAATGTGTAATAAAATGTCTTTGCACTGACAGAGAGGAGAGCTTCACGAGTTTGGTCCACTCAAAGTGGGCTGCATGTGGTCCACAGTGTAAAATGAGTTTGACATCTCAGCTTTTAGGATCTGATTTTCATTGATTCCTGAGCTTTCTGAGCATTAAGTACTTGTCATGTTTTACTTCTGGTTAATGTTTCATATTTGCTTCTGTCAAGCTTATACATATCCAGTGTGTTCTTTTGTCTATTCTTCATTTCCTGCTTTACTTTGGTAATCCTTTGCCTCTTGTGTTTTACAGTTGCTTTTACTTCCCATCTGTCCTCATCTAGCTGATTGTACAGCTGATATTACTCCCTGCCTTGATTAGCCTTCTGTGTATAACTTGTCCCGCATCCCCTTGGTCTTTTGTTGAGCTGCCTGTAGTCGTATCTTCTCTTTGTGTTCCCATGTTGTTGCCTTGTTTTTGGAATTCTGCTATTTAGTTTCTTGGCTCTCGCTACAGCCTAAATGAACATGTAACCAACTTTAAGGTATAAAGGTGAATTACAGCGCAATAATTACTTGGGCTCGTAATAAGACCCTGGCCAGAATCAGAAGACACCAAATTCGTATGGAGCCAAAGTATTGAGCAGCAATAATGACCTGGACACAATGTTAACTTTTGAGTAGCCACTCTTGTATTGTTACAAAGTATAACAGGTATTTGTCCAATTTGTACAGATAAAGTATAAAATAAAATAAATAGTGTGCACACTCAACAAAATAAAAGTACTCGTTGGGGCCCTTTAAGAATTTAGAGTTAAGCTGGCGATAGCCAACTTCAAAGGTCCTTGTGAATGTAACTGGAATGTATGAGTGTGTGGTGTGTATCTTCTTTGGGGTAGATCGTCCTCAAAGTGGTTGGCTCGCCATCTATCACAACCAGAATATCGTCCTGGTCCTTGGACTTTTCCGTCCTCTCCAAAAAACCTGACCTATAATCCAGGTCATAAAATGTACATTCTAATCAGTCTGTTTCAGATGCATTGTTTAAGGTTAAAATACAAAATCAAAATATTGCATCACCTCATATTCATTGCATCAACATCTTAAATCTTATCAAATCTCACAGTTCTGTTGTACAACATTCAATTTTCAAGCATATCAAATATGAGAACTAAACATCTAAGTTGCTCAAATATTTCTCTATTCATGTAAACATTAATTAAACAATACTTATGGTAAGTAACCATTGACACTCAAAATACAATACACCATAACAAATTCAGAACTATGTGCAAATAAGCAACAAAATATACATATGAGTTCAGTTCAGAGGCATTAAAGCAGTGTGCTTAATTTCTCCACGCTATAGGCCTATTCGTGAGAGAGAAATGCACTAAAAATTACCCTCTAGATTACTTTAAACTCACAGTGAACTGACAAAAATTAGCTTTAGAGCAGCTAAGAACATGTTGCTCACCGTTGCTCTGTTTCACAAAAGCCCAACACACACTGGCGTTGGAATTGCAGCAGCTCTCCGGATGAAAGGTGAGTGGTTAGCCTGTGAGACACCAAGCTAGCATTAGCATGATCGCGACGGTAAGTCTCTACAAGTTTTTTCCATCAGAATAACACTCGTCTTACCGACGTTGCCTCTCTCCTTCATCCAGCCACTCGACTCCGGACTTCCAGCAGGTAAGTGCGCTGGCTTTCCTTCTTCTCAATCCTGAGTTTTCCTCTCTTTTGTCCGTGGATTTCTCGGTTTGAGTAGTAGATGCCTCCACTCCTCTTGCTGAGATGAGAAAAACCCGGGACACCATGCACCTCCACCTCACTTCCTGGCTGACAGGGTCAATGTGGCCTGGGTAGGCTCTGATTGGTTGCTGAGCTAGGTGCCCTCACGTGGGGTGAACTGAGAGGTGCATTCAATGGTCATAGGAAATACGGCGCTTGTTGATGTGGACAGTTAATATAAAGAGAATAAGTATGATATTTTTCCATCTGGGCTACACCCTCCCCTCCTGAACTCATGCACGTCCCTGTGCATGGTAGACAGTTAAATGATGATTATTTGACGGGTCAAGGAAGAGGGCAAAGCAGGCTCTTCACCATCACTGATGACATCGGCCCAAGCTGAAGACAGTCCTTGCAAGAATGATTTTGCTGCAGTGATCAGAGGATTGCCTAGCTCCGTATAGTCAAGCCGTCGTGGCGGACGACGGTTTCTCTCAGATCTCCTTACAGAATCATTTGTATCCATGTTTTCCCTTGTATCCACTGGGACTATCTCCTCCACTCTCTCCTCAGAATTCGCACCTCTGGTGCCAGCCTCCTGAAATGGAAGTTGCCTTTCTTGGACGTCTGGGTCATCAACAGGTGAGTCAGTTTCAGTTAAGGTTATTTCATCCACTTGTTCGGTCGGTGTGACTCCATTGGTAGATAAGTACTCAGTATCATCTGTAGTACTGTTAGGCATATCAGGTATGTTGCCAAAATCAGATTGGCTGTCAAAAACAGGTGGGTTGTCAATATCAGGAACATTTACAGGACTCTCACTCACTGTGTGGACAGGGGAACTCAACCAAACAGGAATGAGCAAATCATCTTCTTCGTCTGAGGAGTTCTCTTCCTCTAGCGCTGGATTTGCACGGGTTCTTGGCCTGCGTGACACTGGCTTCTGTACATGCTCACTGCTTTCCTCCACAGGTAGGTAGCCACATGGTAGCAACAGATCCCGGTGTAGTGTTCTTAGGGGACCATCTTTGTTTTCAGGCTTAACTGTATATACTGGGAGGTTGCCTGCCCTTCTCACCACTACATGCACAGTGTGTTCCCACTTGTCTGAAATCTTATGTTTGCCCCGGATACGGACATTCCTGACCAATACCCGATCTCCAGCTTCCAAGTCTGATGCAGTTACATGTCTGTCAAACCTCATTTTGTTCTTGTGAGCCATCTTTGCAGCCTTGTCCATAGCTAACTTGTAGCTTTCTTTGAGACGTGACTTGAGTTTTTGCACATATTCAGAGTGAGATGAGTGTTGTTCCTCTTGCACTGGCAGGTTGAATGCAAGGTCAACTGGCAACCGAGGTTGGCGTCCGAACATCAGTTCGTACGGGGAGAAACCAGTCACTTCATTCCTGGTGCAGTTATAAGCGTGGACCAGGGGTCTTACATGGTCACGCCAACAGGACTTATCTTGATCACGGAGAGTTCCCAACATATCAAGCAAGGTACGATTAAATCGTTCCACAGGATTGCCCCTAGGATGGTATGGGGTTGTCCTCACCTTGTGGATACCAGCCACCTGACAGAGCTCCTTGATTGTGCGGGACTCGAAATCTGGACCCTGGTCACTATGCAATTTTTCTGGGATGCCATAGTGTACCATAAAGTTCTCCCACAGACACCTTGCCACTGTGCGGGCCTTTTGATTAGGTGTTGGGATAGCAACTGCAAATTTAGTGAAGTGGTCCGTGATCACCAATATATCTTTGGTTCCACTCCTGTCAGCTTCCAGGGACAAGAAGTCCATGCACAAGAGTTCAAGAGGTCGTGTCGTATTAATGTTGACCAAGGGGGCCGCTCTTTCAGGCCGTGCCTTCCACACGTCTTCACTTTCCTTTCCACGTCCAAAGCCATCCTTGGCCAATAAAATCTTGACCTTACAAGGTCCAGTGTACGGTCGACTCCCATGTGACCCATATGGTCATGCAGGCTGGTGAGAACTGTGTTGCGAAGCTCAGCTGGAAGTACAAGCTGGTAGGTTTTCTGGGACCTCTCTTGGCGTCGCCGGTACAAGACATTGTTGCGGAGCTCAAGACGGTTATGCTCTCGGAGGAGCAGTGGAAGCTCAGGGAACTGTGTGCGCACGGTTGGAGGTGGTGTGTCCCCATATTCGATCTGAGAAATAACATGCTTTATACACTGATCGGCTCTTTGCTCGTCTGCCAGCTCTGCCTCAGTTAGATGGGGAATGGTTGGCAGACCTCCAAACTGTTCCTCTTGCCCATAGCTATCAGGTACAGCACTAGGAGACACAGCAAGCACCTCCACCAAGGCAACACAATCTGCATCTGCCTCTCTTTCATTGTCAGGACTGACGCTGTAGGTGAACTGCCTCTCACAGATTGCTTTCACCACAGACTGATTTACAGCATTGATGTTGTCTGGATCACAAAGGTGATCTTGAGTGAACTGTTGTATGCGTTCAATCTCTTTTTGTGATTTCAGGTCGTCCGCTAGCCCTCCGTGTGGTCTGCGTGATAATCCATCCGCATCTCCATTCTGCTTCCCTGGACGATAGAGGAGTTTGAAAGAGAATGTGGACAGTGCTGCTAGCCACCTATAGCTAGTTGCGTCAAGTTTTGCTGAAGTCAGAATGTAAGTCAGCGGATTACTATCCGTTACAACAGTGAAGTGGTTGCCGTAGAGATAGTCGCTGAACTTTTCTGTAACTGACCACTTGAGCGCCAGAAACTCCAACTTGTGCGCTGGATAGCGATTTTCGCTCCGTGACAGCCCTCTACTTGCATAGCCTATGACTCTAAGTTGTCCCTCTTGCTCCTGATACAATACAGCACCAAGCCCGGTGGTACTGGCGTCGGTGTGCAGTATATAGGGTTTCTGGGGGTCAGCGAAGGCAAGTACAGGGGCAGTGGTGAGACTTTGGATGACTGACTCGAAGGCTTCCTGGCAAGCTGGCGTCCAGCGACCTCCGAAAGGGTCTTTTGGGTCATGGTACTGATGTGCACTTTGTCTTGCGTTTACTTTTGATTTCTTGTGGCTAGGTGGGTACCCCGAAGTTAAGTTGTGGAGAGGTTTCACAATGCTGGAATACCCCTTAATGAACCTTCTATAATACCCAGCAAAACCAAGGAACGACTTTAACTCTCGCAGGGTCTGTGGGACAGGCCATGTTTTAAGGGCCGAAATCTTCTCAGGGTCAGTCCGAACTCCATTTCTGGAGACCACATGTCCCAGATAACGGACTGAAGTCTGGAAGAAGACACATTTCTCTGGTGACAGCTTTAACCCAAACTCTTTTAGACGAGTGAGCACTTTCATGAGTCTTTCTTCGTGTTCCTCAAGGGTTCGGGAGAATACTATCACGTCATCAAGAAAGACCAATGCATCCTTCAAATGCATATCCCCATGCACCGCTCCATTAACCGCTGGAACGTGCTGGGGGCGTTCGTTACACCCTGAGGCATTCTGTTGAACTCCCAGAAGCCGAGAGGGCACACGAAGGCCGTCTTCGGTTTGTCTGCTTCTTCGACCTCGATCTGGTAGTACCCTGATTTTAGATCAAGAACAGAGAACCACTGTGAACCATTGAGGGCTGAGAACGTGTCCTCTAGCTTTGGAAGGCTGTACGCATCTTTTATAGTCTGAAGGTTTAGACGCCTATAATCGATGCACAACCGGACTTGGCCGTTCTTTTTCCGGACTACCACTATGGGTGACGCAAATGGGGACTCTGACTCTCTAATAACTCCTGCATCAAGGAGTTCCTGAATGTGCTTCCGGACAGCCTCAATGTCCCGTGGGTGGATTGGCCGGGCACGTAGTTTGAAAGGCGTGCCATCCGAAAGTTTTATATGATGTCGCACCTGGTCCGTCCGGCCAAAATCCAGGTCGTGCTGTGCAAACACCTCAGGCATGCCGCTGAGCTGCTGAGTGATGCGCTGTTTCCATTCCAATGGAACTGGGGAGTCACCAAAATTGAAGGTTATGGTGGGCTCTTGGAAAGACGGAGTCTCTGGAGTTCTCTGGGGTGGTTCTGACTGTTTGGTCTTGTTGTGTTCCTTTAATAGGATGGTCTGATAAGCACTGACCTCTGCAATAGTACACTTGGCAGGGATGACAATGTCGTGGTCAGACTCGTTGCTTATAACAACTGGCAACTTGTGGGGCCGCCGCTGGGGAAAGTCAACCAGACCGGCTTTAAGTAGCAGGCCACCGGGCAAGGGGGACGATGATGGGTACTCAATTACAACTGATTTTTCATCCTGAAGGCCCTTGCCAAGGGCGACTCCCTCCACCACTACAGTTGAACTAGCTGGAATGACTTGAGGCATCTTGCCAAGTAGCTTCACTACCCCCTGATGGGTGTCACTTGTCTGCTTCCGTCTCAACTCAATGATTTTGAAGACTACTTTGTAGCCATGTGGGAGGGGTTGACAATTGGCTAAGTCAGTCTCTGAGTAGATGTCGAACAGTACATCTAGGGTGTTTGTGCCTATGAGCATGAGGGATTGTGAAGTGTCAGGGACGATTAAAGCAAGTGTGTTTACATCTACTGGAACACCTATAAAGTCCTTTGGAAAAGTTATGGTCATTTCTATATAGCCAAAGTAAGGCACTAGCTGGCCATTAGCACCTTCCACTTCTAAGAGGTCATGTAGTGGCTTGATCTTTTGCTCTGAAAGGTGCTGCTGGTAAAATGACTCAGGAACAGTGGTAACTTGGGAGCCTGAGTCAAGAAGACAGTTGACTTCTTCACCTCTCACAGTCACTTGAGCTGTACTTCTGGTACCAATCAACTGTTTAGGGAGTTGGAAAGATTGGTTCTGCTCTGAATGGTTTAAGCCAGAACATGTTTGTGCTTTGACAGTCTTTGCTGGGGTACTTACTTTGTTAACCTCAGCTGTGATTTTGTCACCATTGTTTACGTCTGAGGGACGTTGTTGACTCTCCTCAGCTCCTGTTTGT